GGAGTTCATACCTATTCATTATTAATGTTGGAAAGTTTTGGCTCACACTTCAGAGCTGCTGTATGTGTTGATCATCGTGTTGCCATGGTGAATGTGAACGAGTTAACTCAAGTTCAGTAAAAAGGAGAGTGAAACTGCCTGCCTTTTATATCCATGCAAATCCTCAAATGTTAAGACATAAGCTGATCAGTCCACCTTCCAATGTGTCTCCAAGTTGCATACTTCGTCTTATCACAAATAATAAACTTACACCTTTTTTCATACTTCAAATGCACTTGAGTTAATAGTCTGTCATCGTCATCTATTAATATGAATGGATGACTTCACTCAGAAATTCACTGCATTTTTGCCACGTAATTATCATCTCCAGGTATGAAGGTAAGATAAATGCAAGGCTACAGAGCATAACATACAGAAGGTTTCTGAACTCAGGAAAGATGACATCCAAAGAGGCGAACTTCCACAAAAAGGCATGTCAAGAGATACTTCAAATGCTTAATGATTACCATCAAGGCATAGTCTATAAAACCACTAAGAACTGTATTTGGCTCGAACTAGTCCTATTTTGGGAAACAGCAATAACAACTTGCTGTTAAGTGCCCTTGCTTTGAACTTGGTACTAAGAGGTGGTCACAAAATATAAGAAACACATTCCCAATATAAACTACAGGGGAACTAAAAGTGGCAGAGACAGACCCCAAACAATCCAGGCATTCCACTCCAGCATTCAGCCCCTCTTATAATTAAGTTGAGACCGTGTGACCAGTTTTAGACAATGGACTGTGATCAAAAATGGCACTGTTTTCTTCCAGGTCACAAGTCTAAAAATCAGCAAACTGGAAGCCATGGGTCAAGTTGGCAGAGTCTCAAGATGAAATCAACCTGGGTCTCCAAACCATTGCCTAGAAGGGAGCTTATCCAGAAGGCCACTGAACCCATAGTAAACAGTGCATTTGTGAGAAATGAACTTCTATCTGTTAGAGCCTCTGGGACTTGGAGGTTTGTCAGTTACCACAGCACAGCCTAACCTTGGCAAATGAGTAAAACCTACACACAAACTAATTAGAGAACAATTTAATTCAGACTACCATTGTGTGGTCAAGGTGAGGTTAATGATTGGCAAAGAGCATGGATAAGAAGTAAAGGAAGGGAACTGGAAGGAGAAAAGGGAATATATTTTAGGTAGAGAAAACAGTAAGAGCCAGGGAGTAGATTTCTCCAGAAAGAGGTATTTTCAGTTATCAGATGTTCTGTGAACTGGATCATGTTCTTGCTACTTATTAACCTAACCCATGTGTCCTTTGTTGAAAGCCAGGGGATCTCGGCTTAGGACATGAGCTTTACCTTGCATAAATACTAGAAAAGAATGTAAAAAGGTCTACCTATTTTCCTATCTTTCATTCCTAAAGTACAAGCTAGGGATTCAGATAAGGTTTGTATTCTGCTTTTTCACCATCAAGTCAAACTCCATTCTCTACAAGAGTAGAACCCAAACCTTCACAATATCCCCTACTCTCCCACTTCTGGGTCTAAGACGCAAGTGATCTTCAGGGTCCAGAAGACCTGGCACACTCCATGCAGATGTGGACCCCAACTTGAGGACCTTTTCTGATACCCCCAGTGTCTGGGCTTTCTTAGTCTGCTTTCTTCTGTGCTCCCCTGGCATCTTAATTTTAATCATAGTGTTAATCACATTTATTATAATTGACTCTATGTCTGTTTCTTCAATTAGTCTACAGGCCTCTCAATGACAACAACTGTACTTAACTGATGTTTTGACCTCAGGGAAGACATGGTGGATAGATGAGTGAACAGATAAACCAACAAAAAGATGGCTAGACAAATGAGTAGAAAATGTGTTATCATCACAGCTAACTCACATAACTGGTAGCACAGCCCAATGGTGAAAACAATCAGGGGCTAGACTGCCTGGATTTGAATCTTGGCTCTGCAGACTAAGCAATCTAGACAAGTGGCTTATATCTCTGTGCTGTGGTTTCTCACATCTGTAAGATAAGAATAGCACTGATACCAACTTCACAGAATTTTTACAGGACTAAGTAAATAAAAATACAGATGGACCCCAAATTACAGTGGTTCTACTTCCACAAGTTTTCAATGTTATAATGGTACAGAAGCCATATGCATGAAGTAGAAACAACTTTACATTTGGAACTTCTCCCAAGCTAGCAGTAAGCTCAACAACACTCTCTCGTGAAGCAGCAGCTAGCCACAGCTTCCAGTCAGCCACTCAATCACAAGGACACACTAACAATACCCTAGCACGATGTGGCTCATGTAAGTGTTCTGAGCATGTTTTAGGCGGGTGAGGCTAAGTTAAGATGTTCAGTAGGTTAGGTGTTTAAATGGACTTTCGACCTAGGATATTTTCAACTTAACGGGTTTATTGGAATATAACCCCATCATGAGTCAAGAGGTATCTGTACTTAGAACAATACCTGTCACTATATATACGAGTTTGCTTTAAAAGATTTTAAAAATTGGTGCTATGATTATCCCTATTTTATAAGGGAAGCAACTAAAACTTACAAAGGGTAACTGGAACCCAAAGTCACCCAGGGAGCAAACTGTGGAGCCTGGATTCAAACCAGACCAAGACACCAGAGCTTGTAGGTTTTACAGTCATTGCATGCTATCTCCCTATACAAAACGATTCATCTAAGGATAGAGTACACTGAAATAATTACCTAGGAACAGACACTGGGAAATATCACTCTTCTGTTTGTCTAGACCAGGATTTCTCAATTTTTTTCCTATTGACTTTTTAAAATATAAACGCTGACATCATTAAACCTGTGTAATATCATACTTGTGTATCACCTCAAAGGTCATGCATCACCCTCAAAGCTCATTAATTTTTCTCTCCACATGTATTCCAGACCATAAATGTAACAAAAATACAAAATAGACCCATGTCTTTCAAAAAGCAGACTTTTCACTACAACACCTTGAACTAAAGAATGAGTTCTTATTGTGCCCAAGCACTGTGGTAAAGCATTAACGTGATTTCATTGGATTCTCACAATAATCCTCTAGTTCATATTTTAAAGATGAATAAACAGAAGCTCAGAACGTTTAAGTCAATTCGCCAAGCTCATGGAGCTAGCAAATAGCAGAGCTTGGATTTGACCATCCCTTCTCGACTCTCAGCCACTCTCCTACACTATTCCCTTTCAGAAAATAACAACCATGTGAACAATGGGATCACTTCACACTCTTTACAAGCAATAACTCACCAAGACAAGGCAGTGAGATTTATTAAAAAGTTAATCTGGCCAGATGCACCAGCTCACACGTATAATCCTAGTACTTTAGGAGGGCAAGGCAAGAGGATTGCTTCAGCCCAGGAGTTCGAGACCAGCCTGGGCAACAAAGTGAGACCCCATCTCCACAAAAAAATGAAAAAATTAGCTAGGCATGGTGGCAGACACCTGTGGTCTCAGCTACTCGGGAGGCTGAAGTGGAAGCATCCTCCGAGCCTAGGAAGTCCAGGCTGTGATCATGCCACTACACAAGCCTGGATGACAGAGTGCGACCTCGACTCAAAAAAGAAGAAAATTAGTCTACCAGAAGGAAATAATAAGTTAACTGTCTCCGAAGAGATTAAAGTATAGGACATATAAAGATGGAACTGAAATTTAAGTGATATATTGTATCAGGTAGATGACTAAAGAATAACAATAATAATCTATACTTCTATTATATTTTACAACTTTATGACCCATTTTTGACCTTCAGACCCAGAAGTAAGTTTATTTACCAGGCCTTGGGTGAGTCACATAAGCACTCTGACCCCCATCGGCAAACAGGGGCGGTTCTGAGGTTCTCATGGGAAGATGCCTAGAAGAGAACCCAGGCTGCGTGGGCACAGTGCAAGTATCCAGTTCATACCAGCATCTTTCTCTGTGCAGCTGCTCATGCCTAGCACAGAGAATGGCACACAAGACCCTTTAAAAATGTCTGCTGGGGGAGCAAAGTGGGAGGAATGTGCTATGATCTCAGTCCTCTAACAAGATTCCTCTTTTTCTACAATCGCCCATTTTCTGAACTCAGCTCTGAAATGAGCTATTCTCTGTTTCACTCTTCTTCGCATTATCCAAAATAATTCAATGTCCACCTTTTCCTTTGGGAAAATCAAAGGTTGACATGGCTACCTTTTGAACTCAAGCTGTTAAAGATCCTTTCTTGTGTTCAAAAGTTTTACTGATTTTGAAAGGTCTTATTGATAAAAACACAGAGACACTCGGGGGAAAAGGACAAAGAGAAAAAAGAAGAAAGAGAAAGAATAAAGAGGCCAGAAAAGAAAGAGAAGGAAGAGTGCCCAAGAGGAGCAGAGAGAGGCAATGGGTTGTTGAATGCATAATTGCCAACAGTCTTAGAAACGAGCTCCCTAACAGTCATGGGGCATTATTTTTAAAAACCAAGGGGAAAATATTTACATAAATCCAAAGGATACATGCTCTTTGTTAAATGCTAAAAAATGACAATATATTCAATTCATTAATTCATGAAGTGGTCTGTGTGATGTTTACTTCTGGCACCATAAGCATTTCTGAGTTACATATTTAAGAGAATAACAAAGAAATTTAAGAAGTAAAGACAGAAGTAATGAATATGCTTTTTCTGTTTTGTTCTTGTTACCTCATTTATTTGTTTTGGTTGTATTTGTACAGTGGTAGTGGTAGACTTAGGGTGTGGGGTTAATGAAATGGGTGACAAGAAACCGCTCAAGTCCCTCTTGAAGACCTTGGCCTCCAAGGTGTGTGTAAAAGTCACACGAATTTTAAACGGCTTAAGACAAAGTCATGCAGAAAAGTCACATGAATTTTAAACAATTTTCTAATTGTGCTTCTAAATGACAATTTCAAAAGCAGATATGTTACAATAAACACAAATTAAGAGTAAATTAGGCCTTAATTATGTTTAGCAAATTTTATGTTCTCATTAAAAACAGAATCACGACAATAAACATGACTTACCACCAGAATTAACTCTGCCACAATTGTCTACTCTCCCCAAACATTCTTTGTGTGCTCTGGCTCCACACTTAAAACATAAATAGCCTTGGTAAAATGTTCCTCTGAAAGGTAAAATCAGAGAGTGATATATTAAAAGGGGCTCGATTCCACCTATATGAAATCATTAGTGCAAGAAGAGAAAAGAAGGTGTCAACAGTGCTATTCAAAGTATCCCTCAGCACAGGGAGGGGGGTCTTGTTAGAGCTTCTCAAAGGACCATCCAGGGAGAAGGCCCAGCAAAGACCTGTTGCCTCCCACCTGTGAAGGCAATATCCCCACTTTAGAACATTTCAGCGAGACTCTTAGAACAGTCTGAAATACTTAGCAATTGTACCAGTTCCTTTAAGCAGAAAACCAAGACTAAGCAAGCTTACCGCAGGAGCATCTGGCAGACTTTGCAGGACGTAACCCGTGTGAAGGTATGCATCTTGAAGTCATGGAAGTTGGAGTCTGCATAGTCTGGCCTTATGTTAGACCTATTAAGAAAACAAACAAACAACTTCCTAAAGAAAGTCTGACAACTAAGCAGCAATCTAGTCATCTCCAACCTACATTCACCAAAATGACATTGGGCAGAGACCTGATTCAAGCAAAAAGGCTATTAAATGCACAATATTTTCTAAGTCAAAAGTATGTTATGCATTAAAATAGGCAATAAAATCTCGCTGTGTGGAAACCAGCCACATGGAAGAGTATAAGCAACTTAATCCTTCTCAGAACAGAGTATTCCCAGAGAACTTTAAGGAATGGTCACACAGGTCAGGCAGCCTGGAAAAACAAAACAAAACCTGCTGAAGATTCATGCTGAGTGATAGTTTCTTTTCCGGAGCCACATCACTGAAATATAAACTAGATGGGGGGTGGGCGTTGCAGGGAGGAAGAGAGGCCGCTGCGTTACCACAGTTCATGTCTAAATAGTCACGTGGATTATGCCATGGTCCATACAAGAGAATATAACAATTTATGGAAAGTTTGGAAGCAAAGCATCTGTCTGGTCATTACACATCTCTTGCTTTCCCTGCAAACCAAATAAAATCCAAAGTATTTTATCATTTGCCTTTTGTTTATATTATACACATATACAACAAAAATTATGATGCAAACCATAAATTGGCATTCACTGTGCACTGACTCGGTGCTAAATACTGTGACAGCCATACAACATTCATTACCTCATTTAATCTTCCCACCCATCCGAACTGTCTGGTACTAAGAATATCACTGGTTTGCAAACAAGGAAACTGAGGCTCACGCTAAAGTTTACTCTTAAAGTAAATGACAGAGTCAGGAGCTCCAACCCAGGTCTGTGGCCTTAGTCACTGAAATGACAGCTTGAGAAGGAAATCAACAATATTCATATTAAAATAATGAGATTTTTGCATTTAGTGGGTATGTGGGAGACTGCTAAATCTAGCCATTTCTAGAGGACTTTTAAAAAGATTATTCTTGATTTAGCCATATCCTAGAAGAAAGGAGAAAAATTACAATAGCATACATTAAAAATGGATACAAATCAGGGGTTCACCCGGCAAGCTAAGATGATGTGCTCTAAGATGTTCCACGCAATTTGAGAGATTGTAGGAAAAGTCTGAGATCCTGATGAGCTAGGATTTTCCCTTTTACAGAATACAGCAACTCGCAAGCCCACAGAACCCTGGTGTAATGAAGCATAACACAGGTAGGCGACCAGGCATCAATCTCGTAGGTACCAGGAGAAGCCTTATGAGAAAACATTCGCAAAGGCAATTGGAGTAGCAAGCAGTGATGCTGAAGTGTCAGAGAGGTCAGCCTTCCAATCCATCTGCTGAATACAAGCGTGCTAAAAATGAAATCAAATATTAGTGCCATCTGGGATTTCTCTGCTCTGTGCTTCTGGTGACCTCACTATTTAGGAAAATGTTCCACTGCCTGCTGAAAAGTACAGCTATTTCCATGAAGGCATTTTTGTATTTTCGATTAAAAATTATAGAGCTCTTCTACAGGAAGGGAGGAATAGAAAAATGGAAGGCTCTAGAAACAAAACTCTCTTTACATTGTTCATACAGCATTTGGTTCTTGAGACCCTAAAGCTGTGCTTTGAAAAGCGCATCAAAATCCATTTCCTTAGCCAGGAAGGGCTGCTGGTTCATTTGTCTCTGAGCATCAAGGTGATACAGTCATAGACAGATTGTCAAATAACAGTTTGGATCCAGACAACTTAAAGAATTCATCAGCCTGAGGTTTTCACATAAAAGTAGGTCTCCTTCAGGCAGAAACTCATGTAAATAGGTCCCACACAGATAAGAATTTAATTAATTTCAGAAGTCTGCCTTGCATATAGGTAGAAAACACATACACACACACACACACACACACACACACACACACACACACACACACACACACACACACACACCAGAGATGTGTCTGGACCATTTTTATTTAAAACTTTCACCAACTAACCATAAATAAGGCAACTTTTCAGAAGACAAACAGCTGAAAGGGGGATAACAAACACACCAGGAGTTTTTTTTTTTTTAAAAGACCTCATAATGAAAAGAGTTCTGAAAATATTAACAGTAGCTGCCTTAAGGGAAAGGAGACTTGAAGAGGTAGGTTAGAATAGTAAGAAGGAACTGTTCAAAATTTTTAAAACGATACCTGTGTATTATTTTTTAAATCTGCAATCAAACACTAAAGAATAAAAGTTAGCTCTATGACCCTGAAACTGCGAATGAGGCACTGTTGAATATAAAAGCATAGTTAAGGGCAGGAATCCAAAATTAGACCACCTAAGCTTAAATCCTAATTTGCAAAGCAGTAGCAGTGTGACCTTAGGTGAGTTAGTAAGTATAAAACAGGAATATTAATAAAACCAAATTCATAAAGTGAGATGCTATAGGTAAAGTGCTTACAACACGGCCTTACCCAGAGCTGGTTTTCAGTCAATGCTGGCTACATTTTATGAAATGTTGATTTCAAAATCCACATAATAATGGTGTCATCATACCAGTGTTTTATGAGTGGTAAAGAGTTCTTTGGTAGGTCTGCAACCAAGTCCCCAGAGGATTCCTAGTCTCCTAGGAATTTCTAGCACAAAGACTGTCATATGCTCAGTGTCCTCTGAACCAGGAATCCATATAAATATTATTTAAGTACAATAAGGAATGAGGTTACTCTGGAGAGGACATACAGAGGGTGCCAAAAAAATGTATACACATTTTAAGTATGACATTCATCAAATGAATGCCAGTGTCACCATGTGACAGGCAGGACAGTACAGTTGAGCAAATGTCATACTACACATTGCTACCATAATTAAATTCAACTTCAAAAAGGAATACATAGACAACATCACTTAAAGTGGGTATATGTCTTTTGGGCACCCCATATATGAAAAAGCCCATGGAACTGCATGAAGTCATACCAAGTGCAGAATGAATAGACACACAGGCCTGTAACCTATGGGGCTAAGGAAAGCAAAGGACACCTTGTTGGTTAGATGGGAAGATTTGGAAGGTAGATTGAAATAGAAAGGGAAAGAAAAACATCAGAATCATACCCTGAGAAAAACACAAGGGCAAAATAGTCAAAAGTGATATTTACTACACACCTCTAATGCACCAAGCACATTGTTAGGCTTGCCATATAATTTTTCACGTTTCCTTCTCAAAACAAATTTACAAGGCAGAGTCACCCATTCATTTAACAAATATTTGTTAAGTAACTACCATACACACAGGCCCTAAGGCAGGAACAGAAAGAAGGACCTTTCCACTGGAGTCTAGTGAGTGAAGAGGGGATGTAGCAGATGAGGTAAAAGACACAGACATGGGCCAGAAAGAGATGAGATTTCAACGGGGGTTGACATCACATTTAGTTGACAAAAAGAAAAAAAAAATCTCTGTGGCTATTACGTACACAGAGATTTTCTTATAGTGAAGCAAGGTTGGTTATAGCAAAACTAATTATAGGACTAGTCTGTCTATAGATGAGAACTGAGGATCAACTGAATTAACCAATTAGTTAAACTCATTTGCTCAGACATGCAGCTATCAATAAGGAATTCATTTTAGTAACTACCCCAACATACGACAATTTACTTCTAAGGACTTCAGTGGAATCTTGTAGATTTCACAACAAAATATTCCCATTCCTCTTGCTTCACAAAGGGCCCATTATGAATACAACCAATCAGGCAATCAAATATTTATATGGTAAGGAATTTTGATACACTTAAGGCTCCTAGTAACTTCTGTGTTCTCCTCAAACGGCCTCCTTTTCCCACCTGACGCCATCGCAGGCTCTATGCTGGGGTCACACTTTCCCCCAGCCCGGACCTCCACTCTTCCGATCTAACTCCCTGCTGATCAGGCATCTCCAACACAGCACATACCAAGCTCACCTTCCACACCTTTCCTGGCCATCTGATTAATTTACTCCATCTTCCAACCTAGAAGCTTCAGAGTCACAATGAATGTTGTCTTCCCCTTACACCCTCTGCAAATTCATTTTCTCTTAACCTTTCTTCTGCTCCAACGTCTTCTTCCCTGCAACTGACTGATTTCTGTCAATTTAACCTTACAAATGCTTCCTCACGAATTCAGATTCCATACACACACATGCATGCCCATACATGGCCTGTTGTTTCTGTTTCTCTGGTAAACTAGTACAACCTCTGGAAAACCGTGTGGCGACTCCTAAAAGATCTAAAAATCAACCTTCCATATGGAAGTTCCAGCCATCTCTCTTCTGGGAATATACCCAGAGGAACTCAAATCACTCAATGAAAAAGATATCTTCACACATGTGTTCATTGAAGTATTATTCACAATAGCAAAAACATGGAACCAACCATGCTGCCCATCGAAAGAAGACCGGATTAAAAAATGTGATACATATACACGATGGAACATTATGCAGCCATAAAAGACAAAATTATAAATTTCAAAATTATAAATTTCACAGCAACTTGGATGGACTTAGAGTCTATAATGCTTAATGATCTACCACAGAAACAAAGAACTGAGTACCACATATTCTCACTCATAAGTGGACCCTGAACAATTATAATACTGTAAGAAAGGGATTGGCAGCAGTTGGAAACTGCCAGGGGAGGAAAGGAGGGGTAATACTTTATCAGTGAGGGTACCTAGTCTCAAAACAGATGAAATAGGGACCAAAGTGAGGCCCAAAACTTACCTGTACAATGACCATTTGTATACCTAACCCTGAATTGTACCCCACATCTTTAAAGTAAATTTTTTTTTTTTTTTTTTGAGTTGGAGTCTCACTCTGTCGCCCAGACTGGAGTGCAGTGGCCGCTCCTGGCCACCGCAGCCTCGACCTGCTGGCCTCCGATGATCCTTCCGCCTCAGCCTTCCGAGTAGCCGGAATTACAGGCATGCGCTACCACGCCCGGCTGATTTTTTGATTTATTGTAGAGATGAGGTCTCACCGCCCAAGCGGGTCTCGAACTCGCGGGCTCAGGCAATCC